TTAAACCTTAAAAATTTAATCTTATAATCTCGTTACTTTTATTTTTAGATTATTAACCTTCATTGAAAAAAATAAATCCTAATTCCGCGACTGTACGAATACCTAAGTGATTATATGTGCCTTCTAGATATTTTAAATGTTGGAGCCAATTATTTGGGCATCAATAGGAACCCTTTTGGTTTGTTTGAATATGTGTGAACCTGAATAGAGCAAAAGGTTTTCCATCGGCAAAAGAGACTTGAGTATGATTGAAGGAATTGGATCTTTCTTTTCTTTTCTTTTCTTTTCTTTTCTTTTTTCCTTTAGCAACCTTTGGAACTTCTTTTTGTGCAGGTTATGTTGAAGATGAAGAGCAGGCACGTTGCTGGGACCATCACAAAAAAGAAAAAGAGTAAGTTTTTTATTTTATTTTATTTTTACCCTCAACTTTTTTTTTTTTTTTTTTTTTTTTTGAAGCAGAAATGGGGGGGGGGGGGATTTTTGTTGAAGCAGAAATGGAGGTGGAGGGGTCTTCTTCCATTTGGGGATTTGTGAAAGTACTTGAAAGACAAAAAGAAAAGAACCAAGTCTTTATTCCTCTTTAATCCTAATCCCAATTCTCTTTTTTTTTTTTTTTTTTTTTTTTTTTTTTTGGTTTTTGTTTTTGTGATTTTACAGATGCGGTTTTGGAAGTGCTCAAAGATATGCCAGCTTGGCCAGGCCGTCACTTGCTTGAGGGTGGTGAGAACAGGCGTTATTTTGGATTGAAAACTGTAATGCGTGGAGTTGTGGAATTTGAGTGCAGAAGCCAAAGAGAATATGATGTTTGGACTCAAGGCGTCTCAAGACTTCTCTCGATTGCTGCTGAAAAGAACAATAGACATAACAGAGTTTGAATTGTACTTAAAAAAAGAAGAAAAAAAATTAATCGTTGCATTTTGTACTAGGGGAAGAAGCTTTGGTAAGTAGGATCTTATATATATAAATATATTTGTCTTTATATTTGTGTAAACCCCAACTTTTAAAAAGCAATAGGTATTTTGATATTTTTGTTGGTGGGTTTTTTTTTGTTCCTATTGTAAAAAAGGGATGATAAATTAAAGGTATAAGTTTTATCCAAATGGGGTCTACTTAAATCTTTATGTGAATGAATACATTATTCTATGCTTTTTGTATTTGTTTTTGAATGTTGAAAATAAAAAAGTAAAGTTGGGAAGAATTTAGAGTTTGTGACACTTAGACCTGTAAGTTTAGGCCGGATTAAACGGGTCAGTTTGAGGTCTGTTACTGTTTGTCTTGACCCGGTCTGGCTTTAAAATTTTTTGGACTTAGGATTAGGTTGACCCGGTCTGGCTTTAAAATTTTTTGGACTTAGGATTAGGTTGGACAAATTTTCTCTCCTTTAAGGTCAGACATGACCGGTCTGAACATCATATTTTTAAAGATTTTTTAAAAAAAAATACTTTATAAAATTTTAGGTCGGGTCGGTCTTGAACTTTTTGAATTTAGGGCCGTCTCTTTTTTAGGAGTAGGCCGGGCTGGCCTGAAATTGTTTTTGAGCTACCGGGCCCGGTCCTAAACTTACACCTCTAGTGACACCATATGATGATCCAAGTCCATGTGCTTGAGGAAACAAAAGAAGTATCTTGGACTGAGGCAGTCAAAAAGAAACCCCATTTGAGTGAAGAAAAACTATATTGGAGATAAAGACATGGCCCTGATCCTTGTTTATTCTTTTGTGGGTTTTGGCTTTTGTCCTCAATTTGGTTTTTGGTTTTTGTAACTTAGTTTAAAGTTGAGATCATGATTATTGTCTAGATCTGTGACATTCCACTTTATGATATTTAAATTGTTTTGGATTAAGCAAATCAAAGCAATATCCTACTTCAAAACGTTGCCAACCAAAAAAAGTCTTTGATGGCAAATATTAAATTAGTGGAAAGCAAAATTAGGCCCCAATTGTCAGAAAATGTGTTTATTTAACCAAGTGGCTTAAGAATCTTTCGTACACTGCTTGTAAACGTTAAGTAGACAAACTCTGATCTGTTTTACCTGATTAGCTGAACTGGTTCTTCAGATTTTTTAAACTGTTGGGTTTAATGTTGTTAGAAGCAAAAACAAAGAGATCAAAAAGGGGGAAAAAAAAAAAAAGTTGCATTGTGTAAAATGTACTGCGGAAAGCTCCAACGCAAGGCATTTTTCTTGATTAGCGAGATCCTTCTAGGGATGTGTTAAGTTTCTTTAATCGGATTTAGGCGATTAAAGCTGGTTTTCAAAATCTGGTCTTTCGTTCAACAAGAAAAATCCACTTGTTGTCTTTTTATATATATATATATATATATATATATATTTTTTTTTTTTAAAATTTTTGGTGCTTTTGTTCGCAGAAAGATCAGATAATGAAAGAAAGAATACAACAAAAACTCTATAATAAGAGTATAGAAGTTGCAACTTTATGATAATAAAATAAAATTACAAATTTAACATGGATAACAATATTTGTGTATAATATGTAATGTGATCATAATCACAAAGATTGCAACGTTATTATGATGATCCATGAAATTAAGGCCTCATTCATTTCACCGATTCGAGTTTTCAGTTTTAAGTTTTTACAATAAAAAGCTCTCAGAAAATGTCACATCTAACTTTTTCTGCTATAGAAAAAACTCTCAAAAAATATCACAGCTCGAATTGAAAACTCGAATTTACAAATGAACGAGGCCTAATTATTTTATGAAATTAACACCACGTGGAGCGGGCTGGAAATCTTGGTTGGGTAACGGATGATGGCAAGAGGCCCAGATTTATGCCTTGTTCATGGGGCTTTGGCTCATTATAGAGACAAATACCATTAAAAAGTACAGGGTAAGAATTTTTATTTCTTATTTTTAATTAATAGTCTTTTTAGTTAAATAATTATATTAATAAAAGAGTATTAATTAAAAATAAAGAGTAAAAATTTAGATTCATGCACTTTTAAGAAAAAATTCTGCAATTTTCTCTTTATCTCTCTTTTTCTCCACTTTCACCAAGCTTATGTTTTTCCTTATATTTATGGGAAAATCAAGCTATTGACTGATATTGACTAATAATGAAAAACCATCTAGTTAATTAATGATAAATTTAAGTCAATTAGTGATTAATTGTAAAAATAATCAGTAATTGACTACTAAATTAATTAATGACTGACCACTAAATTAATAAAAAAAACAGTCATTTTGTTAATTTTACAAAACTTCAGCTATTTATTTAATAAATCCTTAAAAAATGATAAAAATAATCAATAATTGGCTACTAAATTAATTAATGACTGACCACTAAATTAATAATAAAAAAAACAGTCGTTTTGCTAATTTTACAAAACTTCAACTATTTATTTAATAAATCCTTAAAAAAGGATCATTAGCCTCTGTATCCTGTTGTAGCTATCCCTCAGCCAAAAAAAAAAAAAAAAACACTAGTTGCAACGGTACTCTATTTTACTGATACAAAATTTCACGTTCATAAAAACTAAAATGAAATGAAATTCCTCAACTATAAGACAATTTAACTAGAAAAAAAAGTAGTACTATAATATCACCTATTGATTAAATCCCTAGTATCACCACACAACACTAAAATAAGCGAAGTAATACATGAGTCTAAAAACAAAGGGTGCCGTTTGGAATTGGTTACAAAATAATTTTGTTTTTTATATGAAATTAGAAATGAAAATAATTTCAATTTCAGACAAGAATTATTTCTGAAAATGCGTTTGGTAGTTTTATTAAGAGATTATTTTTAGTATAAGAAAAAACTTAAACCCTGTTAGGTTATACAATTTTTACTTTTAATTTAAGAGCACTTTATTAGTTTATTTAAGCCTACACCCACTTGCCTAAAAAAAAAAAGGCATCCACCCAAAACTGAAAATGAAAAACGAATTAAATTCGTTTTTAGTTTTTAAGTCATTTTACACTAAACCGAAAACTGTTTTTATTTTCATTTTTTTCACCTTTTTTCCTCCAAATGCGTTTTCCTCGACAATCTTTGCTTTTTTATCTCAAAAAATGTGAAAAATGAAAACGAAAATTATTGTACTGGAAAATGTAGGATGACGTGTCGAATTGCGATAGCATTCCACATGGCCCTATTCATCCTCGCATCAGGTAACCCTCGACGTTTGGAGCTCTTTCCTTCTCAAATGTTGAAAGAATGAAGCCTATTGCATGCGGTCGACCCGTTATCCCATGGAACATTTGGATGGCGTGCAATTCTTGCCAGCAAGGGGTCATTCGCCATAACGGTCTACGCCTTGTAACAGCCTAGATGCCAAAGACAAAACAGATAACGAAGTCCATACCTTGGGAAGGATATCTGACAACATGTTGCGTCTGGGTTCGAAAGATGTTACAGTACAGGCATTAATTACTAGCCCCTAAACCACCCAACAGTGGATGGTGGAAGGATTACAGGGTGTCTGCAGAGCCGTAACAAGGGACAAATGGTATGAGTGAATATTCCAAGAGGTGATTAGCAGTCTATGGGTCAGGGCCCATAGGGTAGCAGGCACTCAAGTGATGGGCCTACACAGCAAAACCGTCCATGAAGTAAACTTGGACTATAAAAGGAGGACAACGCCCTGAGCAAAGAGAGAGCTCTCTTCTTTTCACATGTAATGAGAACAGAGAAAATATATACAAGAATACAGTGGATGTAACTCTTCATTAACAGAGTGAACCACTATAAACTTCGTGTGTCCTTTCATTTAGGCATTACATTCATATTTCCTTCACCACATAGTTCACTCGAGCACTCCATAAACATAATCTCAAATATACACCAATATCAGGCCGGTAACCTTACGGGATACTAAGGGATGACTCGGTGCAATCCTGTTGACGAAATTTCACCATCAACAGAAATTATACGAAACACGCTCAAAAGATCTACACATAGGCCTTTTATTCCCATATAATGAACATGTATAAAAAGAGACCGTAAGAAATTATTGGTTTATAATAATAATTAATAATTTTTTAGTCACTCAATCTGAGTATACTGAGAATACTGAGAAAAAGATTGATGACATCAAGATAAATAGCAACCGCAGCCCAAATATAGTCGTCGTAGGTGTAATGTTTGATCATATTGTTAGTGTCGTATATTATATACCCACAGAATATGATCGATGCCAAGGCTGAATATATCATCAATGTAAGCTTACCCAGCGGAAGAAATACCTGTTTTCACCAATTACATTTAAAAAAAAAAAAAAGAACATGAGCAGTGTATAATTACTTCCAAATTGGTTATTTTTTATTTGCTTTAAAGCAAGCAAACTAATTAATCATCCACACGGAAAATGATATGTGTTTTGAAACTTCCTCTCTTCTTCTTTCTAAGCATGTCACGAAATTAAAATTTTAACTTGATAAGGGTAGAAAAAAGAAAAAAGAGTCTAAAATGATAATTCTATTTTTTTCATGAGGTGTATTATTACTTGTAATCATAAAGTTTTGAAGTGCATTAGTCACACATAAATGTTTGCAATCAGACTGAAAAATTAAAAGTTTGAATATGAATTTAAATTTTTGTATGGGGGATCGATTCTCATCCCCATCCTCACTTCCCGTTACGGCTGTAAGAAACCACGAACCCGACGAATCCGGCCGAGCCGAGCCGACCCTACTCAAAAATCACAGGTTTCTAATTTTTTATTTAATTTTCGGTTTTAATTATGCCCAACCCGCACTGTGCGGGTAGAGATGCGGGGTGGGGTTCCATGAACCCGAGGTACCCCTACCCGGCTGAACATGTTTAAAAATAGGTAAAACAATGTCAAACCCTAATGATAATAAGTTTAAAAATCTTCCGAACACAACATAAAGGGTTGAGTCTTTAGATAATTCTTGTTGATTCTATATTCTGTGGATGATGGATTTGTGTAATTGTTAAAAATCTTCCTAACTCAACATAAAGAGGCTAAATCTGTGGATGGTGGATTTGTGTAATTGTTAATTAGACACCATATAATTGGCTTTGTGATTTTACCTGTGTCTCGCTAAAAAGATCCGATTTTTCTTATTTCTCTTACAACTTTTTTTCTCTTCAAAATACTGAATTTGTCATTTTTTAGAAGTGTTTGATTTTAAAGTGTGTGTTTTAATTATTCACCTTGCATTTAGACCTCTTCTTGAAGGAAAGACATGTTCTGTTTGATAATGATTCCGTAACAAACATAGATTAATTGATTAAAAAGTGATCATGTAGTCCTTGAGATCACCCTTGTTTTATGCATTATGCATATTGTGATAATTGAAAAGTTCCCAAGCCTGTCAACCCGAGTAACCCGAGCCTACCCAAGGTCACCCGACAGGTTACGGGTTTGTGGGCTTATGAGAGTGTTGCGGCCCAAAGTTTTCTCAACCCACACAATGCGGCTCAGCCTAATTTTTTAGTCCAACCCGAGCCTACCCGGCCTAATTACACCCCTACTTCCCGTAACTTCTCCCATCCCCACTTAAGAAGAGATAGGATTGGGTCAAGAATTCTCTATTGGAGGGTCTTTCTCCATACCTATCTAATTATTATTTATCTAATATAATTATGCAATTTAAAATTATAGAAATTTTAAAAAATTAATAGAAATGCACTCTAAATTTAAACCAAAATCAAAATTTGTAGAAAACAAAACAAATTCTAAACATATAGAAATCGAATTTTAAAAACAAAATCACAAAAGGATTAATGATGCTTAAAATGGTAATATTATATATTTTTTATTTGTATAAAATATATAACTAAAATAATATCAGAGTGGGAGAGTGTTTCCCTTGTGTCCACTCCGGCACAACTTGGGATAAGATTTTATCCGTATCCGCGCTCTCATCCCCAATAATTTGTCCTCCATTCCCATTCTTTTCGAGACGGGACTTTGCCTATGTAGGAAATACTCCCATTTCTATTTTTGTGAAAGAAAATAGAATGAAAAAAAAAATGTTTGAATTGTGGTTTAAACCTATGAAATAAAGTGACATATGGTCTATCTGGTGAATTATGTTATCTCACTTAAATCCACAAGTCCAAAAGTTACATTATGATCAAATTGAAAAGCCTAGAGTTTTTGTGGTGAATGTTGAGAAGCAAGAAACATGTTGGTTCAATGAAACATGCAAGTACGTGTGAAATTGAAGTGGAAATATAAAATATACCTGAATGAGGGCAAAAATAAGAAGAACCAAGAGAGAAGCAAATAGGAAAGGCCCAAGAAAGGTGAAATCCCAGCCTCTCTTCACTGCCCAGAATGTATACAAAGTTAGGCTAACCACCACGATAGAGCACAGAATTGCGGCCTCCAAAATAACAACCCCTGTTAACAAGAAAGGTTATACGACATCAATGTATCTCAATATATATATATATATACACACACACACACACACAAATTAACTATCTATTTTAATCTATTACAAAAATTAGAAATTTGCCACCATTTACAGACACAAATTAGACAACTGATCGACCTAAATATATCTCATTCGTGTCTATTTTATGCATCATTTACAATATAGGCAATGCATAAGGATTTTGATGAAATAAATATTATCCATATATTGCAAGGAAATCCATTTTTTTTTTTTTCGTTTTTTTGGAAAGTATAGCAAAATCAAATTCATGAGAGACAGATCCTCTCATGACGACGAAAGGATGAATTAATTAATGAGTTCATGATAAATGAATAACATGATGTAAAAACAAAACTAGTTCTTTTTTTTTTTTTTTTTTTGGACAATGGATCCAAGATAAAGAAGAAAAAATGGTTGGAATTGCACGTGGAAGAATACCTTTCGTGTAGGCACAACTGAGTCCGACAGAAAACGCGATCGCAATTGTGAACAACGTGAGGAGGAGAAAGTTCACCGGATGACGCTTGTGTAAAAAGTACAACGCGATCATAACTATATATGAACAACAGAAAAAATATATATCAAACATAAATTAATTTCTTATATATAAAGGAAATACACAAAAAAAGGTGTTAATTTCACAAATTATTTTATGCATTGGAGTTTACGTACGTAGGAAGGTAAAGATGATAATGGCAATGTAGGCAATAAGGCCACCCGTTGTCTTAACGAAAAAATCCGGGATCGGACGGTAGAAGATGACGGCTACGGCGACGGCGACGGTGAGAAGAAGTTGCATGGAGATTATGACGTAAACCTTGCGAATGAAAGCCCAACGAAGTTGGGGGCTCTCAAGCATCGTTGGATAGAGTTGATCCATGTTATTATTGCCATGCCTAACATTATAGCCAGATTCAACGTCACCTTTGGATCCACCCATATTATACAACAATGGTTGAGCAAAATGTATGATGGGATTTAAGAATTTCTTCTTTGTCTGTAGGTTTTGTTATAAATTCTTTTTCTTGTTAATGGAGAAAGAGGAAATGGTTTTGGGTTTTGTTTTGGAGCATGTAGAGAAGGGGTGAGAATGAGAGAGAAAATTAGAGAGAGAGAGAGAGAGAGAGAGAGAGAGAGAGAGAGAGAGAGAGAGAGAGAGGGGGGGGGGGGGTTTGGGGGGGGTGGAGGGGGGCAATCAATAGAGAAGGGGGAAATGTAACTACTTTAGGTATTGAAACGATGACAGTGTTTCATTTGGTTTCTTTTACCTGAACCCATTCAAAGTAGCTAACAGTCACACCACCAGAATTTGCATAGATGTCAGGAAGTATAACAACTCCTTTCTTGGACAGGATCTGCAGAAAGGGATAGATTAGTTCACCATTCTTCAAGTTTGTTTGTTTTAGTGCTTTATTCCTATAAAGTCGATAAAACCAATATGGATTTGTAATACTACCTCATCTGCTTCGGGGTCGGTGGGACAATTTGCAGCTTCTACTATGAACTTTGCCTTCACATCAGCAGCATTTTCCCTTCATATAGACAAGAACAAGTAATTATAACTATAATCCAACTTTATCTGTCAAAAAAAAGAGAGAAAAAAAAGCTATGGGGTCGGGTTAGCCCAGGGGCTGAAGACCCAGGCCTCGGTCGGCGGGGGCATCTAGGTCGGGTTGGTCTATATCCTTATGCGGGGCAAGTCAGGCCCAACATCAGTCCCACTAGGTGGGCCACGTGGCGATTCGTTGGGCTCCTCTTATATATTGAATTACAATTTTCTCTTTGAATTACTCTCCAAGTTCTCTAGAATTTTTAATTTGATTCTTGTTATTGGAGTTAATTGCTATTATTATTAACTTCTTAAGAAGAAAATTCGGGGGTGACAATGTGAAATCACAAAAGATTTCAAAGGGTACAAATACGTAATATCCCCATACTAATATTATAAACAACATGAAATTTAGAAATGACAAATAAAAATCAATTGAGAACCGAGTAAAGAAACTAGAAGGTACAAATATGAAAGGGAAAAAAAATGGCAACAAGAAAAACTCAAACAACAAGGGAAACATTAGTGGCTCGTTTAGTTCACACGTTTAAATTAGTGATTTTGATTCTGAATTTAAATTTTATGAGAGAACTCATTTGCGAAAACTTTTTCTATTCAAAATTTTTGTAAAAAAGGTAGTTTAACAAAATCATAATCATAATTTTAAACGCGTGAATCAAACAGACCTGAGAATTCAAGCGAGCACCAAGTAGTGACAATAAACATGAAAGTCAGGAGCAATAAAAGTACAAAACAAGGAAAAAAATCCTTGCGAACAAGAACACAGAAAACAAATGACAATAGACTGATGAACGAGAATGAAATAGAGGCGACGACAAAACTCAAAACGACAACTGAAAGGCAAACCAAGATATAAAACGACAACAGATATGCAAACTCCAAAGATAATTGAATGGTATGAGAAGACATAAAAATAACAACAAAGAAAAAGAAAACATAAGGACAAACTTAAAAGTGACATGTAAAGGCAAAAGAAGGAAAGTCTATATTTAATAGTCAAGCAACAATAAAATGGGAACAGCGATGTAAATCTTAACGAAATAAAGCTTAAAAAAAATAATAATAAAATTCGAAACGAGCAACCATGGACCAACAAAAGAAGAGAAAACGACAATAAAGATAATTGAATATTAGAGATGAAAGTTCGGGTCTTTCGTTCCAGTTGGGGCTGTGAGCCGTATGGAAATTTTGGGTCGGCCTGACCCAACCTTAAAGGGGAGAGAGTCGGCACAGTCTGGCTCTAAAAGTCCGGAAGAGGCAGGGCCGACTCGATCTGAAATTTTATAAGGTATTTTCAAAACTTTTTTAAAAAGATGGTGTCTGGCGAGGCCTGAATAGATGTGTCAATTAGGTGAGGCCGTCTATGGACGGCCTGACCTAGCCCGCTACAGTGTGAGGTTCGATACGGTCCGGTCCTGTACTGTTACGGGCCGGCCAAGCACGTCTACCGAGCTAGGGTTGTGCCTCATTTTCTCAGTCCACGGTCCTGGCCCGTTGAAGGCCCAAGCACGTGACAGACCCAACAGTCAAAAACAGCCCGGCACGCGGCTCGACACGTCATGGGCCTAACAGTCGAAAACGGCTAGTCCGAGGCCCGACCCGTGACATGCCCAACAATAAAATTCAACCCTCATGCTCCAAAACCCCTATAAAAGCCCTATCTCCCTCACAACATTCTCAACTCTTCTACATCACTCTCAACTCTCAACTTACCTCACTCTCATAACTCTATCTCTCATATTCTCTCTCTGATTCTTAGCTTTCATTATTGATTCCTAACTTTCTCTTATCTCTTTCATTTACAAATTTCAATCAAATTAAAGACATCCTGAAAAAAGGTACTATACTCATTATTTTGGTATAATATTTTATTATTTAATGTTTATTTACATTGTTTATTGTTTATAAATATTTTTGTTAACATTAATTTTAATTTTAATTTTTACAGAAAATGGCGGAATCAAATTTTTCTGATTTTGGAGATCAACCATTTTATGAGGATGAAATTTTGTTGCACAACTCCAACCCCACTGATGCGGATAATGTTTCGGTTGATAACCAGTCGATACACAACGAGGATATAGGAGAACGTGCAAGGGAAAAAAGACCGCGCACAGCTCCTGCATGACAACATTACATAAAGGAGCTATGACCAAATCCAAAAACATATGAAATTGAAATGCGTGCGGTTTGTAAACATTACAAAAAACACTTTTCCAACAAAAAAGGTGAGGGTACAGGCCATCCTGATAGACATTGGTAAGCATGTCTACCATTACACCAAAGTGGTAGTGTGGACTCCCGTCAACAAACACTTTCACTCACAAATCAAGGTTTACAAAATTTTACATATGATGCACAACGTGCTCGTGATAGGCACTAGCTAAATTTGTAGCTAGTGCCGAATTATCATTGTCTTTTGTAGATGATGAACCATTTGAAGAATTTATTCAGACTGTATTTTGTCCACAATTTAACAGGGTTAGTAGAAACACAACTATAGCTGATTTCATGAAACTTTTTTATGCAATGAGACAATCACTTGTTGATAATTTTAAGTCTTTTAATGCTACAGTCTCTTGCACATCTAATCTTTGGGAGGGTTGTAATAAAATTGGTTATTTATGCGTCACGGCTCATTATGTTGACGAGGGTTGGGTTTTGTAAAAGTGAATTATTGGTTTTCGTTTATGTCCTTTTCCACATAATGCAAATGTTATTTTTCTACTATTATGGAAATTTTTAATTTTTATGGCATTGAAGATAAAGTTTTAACTATTACTTTTGATAATGCACCAGCAAACACAACTGCTATCAACATGGTCAAAACAAATTTGAAACCACTTATTAGTGGAGAATTTTTTCATCAACGTTGTGCATGCCATATCATAAATTTAGTAGTCCAAGCTGGTATTGAAATTATATCTCTTCATCTAACTAAAAGTAGAGAGGCGTTATCATTCATCTCTAGTTCGGGAGCTCAGCTCTAAGAATTTTGCCAATATTGTAGGAATAGTCAGATTAGGCTAAAAAAATTTCCAACAAATGTTCGACATAGGTGGAACTCTACCTACTTAATGTTGAAAAATGTTATTTCGTATCAACAGATAATCACTACATATGTGAACAGTAAGCATGGTGAGCATTTTATTTATGATGCAGATTGGAAGATTGATGAGTACTTAAAATTTTAGAAGTATTCTACAATGTTACCGAGTTACTTTCTGGTGTGTATTATCCTACTGTTCATCTTGCTTTGCATCAATTATTTAATATTTCTGATACATTTGCTTATTATAGGGATACTGATCTTTTTGCACCCATAGTAAATAAAATGGAAAGAAACTTTAAGAGTAATTTGGGTCAGTTGTTCAATTTTATATGCATTAGCAACAATTGTAGATCCTAAATGTCAATTGATGGCACATAATCTTTGATGTCTGCTACAATAGATAATTTGTCTATTGATATGGAACTAACTATTGATGATGCAAGGAAAATGTTAGAACATATGTTTGCATTGTATGAAAAAAAAAAATACAGAACAAGAGAACAACAACAATCAACTTCGACATCAAAGAGCAGTTCCGGGCCTAAAAGTTCATCGTGGAGCTTCTTGAAGAGAAAAGAGAAAGTATCAGGATCATCATCAACACATGGATTGTCTTCAGAACTTGGCGAATATTTTGACTCAAAATTTTTAATTGATGACGACAAACTAGAAATCTTACAGTGGTGAAAGAGCAAGCAAGATCATTTTCTAACATTATCCATTATAGCACGTGACATTTTGACAACTCTAGTGTCCACAGTAGCATCAGAGCAAGCATTTAGTGTAAGCAATCGAATTATTGACAATAAGAGGAGAAGAATGTACCCGGATATCTTGGAGGGGCTAATGTGCGTGAAAGACTAGAAAGATGCAAGAAGACGAAAACAACATTATACAGATGATACACTTATAGACTATTTTTCAAGCTTAGACATAACAACATATTCTGGAAGCAATTCGGCCACAGTGTAATCTAATTATCCTTGTCTACTGCATTCTTTTTTCCTTCACTAAGGTTTTGTCCCGATCTCCCCACGGGTTTTACTTGGTAAGGTTTTTAACGAGCCAGTCATTCATGTGTAATTATTCATATTATTTCAATTTAATAAATTCACATCTTTTTAGGGCATATGGTATATTTCCTTTTTTTGCCATTAAATATGATAATAAATGCTAATCCAGTGCAATCCAATCGACTAGTGCATGCTCAACGGCCATAAATTGGACCATTGATTTCAACAGATTGAAAAGGGCCAGGGCCGACTCATGAAGGGCCTGGGCCCGGGCCCTTATGGACAAGGGCCGGGACCAGGGCTGGGGCCTGAGGGTCTTCCCTCATGCCCGGCCCAGGCACGACCCTTATGGACAAGGGTCGGGGCCAGGGCTGGGCCTGAGGGTCTTCCCTCATGCCTGGCCCAACCCTGTGACGGGCCTTGGGTTAGAAGGGTTGTGCTGGCCTGGCACGGCCCTTTTGACACCACTAGGCCCGAATAAGTATTCGGGCTTGAACCTAGGCCCGGCTCAGACCAGAGGTTAAGGTTGGATCTGAACCAACAATAGTAGGTCTCGAACCAGCCCGTATGGTCTGTTATAAACTTACAGCTCTAATGACAACGAAATAGAAAAGATCCAGAAGAAAATAAATGAAAATAACCAGGTTGTTGGCAATAAAAGGAAAAAGACAATTGAAAGAAGTCGGGCAAAAAAAAGAACTCTAAAATGATAATAACAAAATATAGAAAATGACAAGTTGAATAGAAAACGACAAAACAAACGATAATCGAAGGAAATTGACACTTTGGTTCATGTAAACTCCAAATATCACTATGCAATTGAATTGCTTTAACACGGACAACTCAACAAAGTAAATCCATCCCACTGAATGCTTCGTTGAGCTTTTTATATGGTGATATAGAATGATTCATACATCATTCTATACACAGCTAAGCCATAGATCCTCCAATCGAGATGTGGTATTTAGTGAAATTCTTATTGTTTACTTACAAACTTATTTCATTTGGTTACCACACATGCTTCTCATCTTGTTTCAACATCGAGCACAAGAAATCTACACACTCGCCCCTATCATAATTTAACGAACAATGTTAAAAGGCGTTGGTGTTGTTTAAGAACACGCACTAACAAAAAATTTTGATCCCACAGTATGAGTAGGGGCAGAGGGACATAAGGCCGAGGGGGGCATATGGACCAATTAGAATATGTATAAATCAATGCCGCACCGGACCAATCGAGAGAGGCCATGAATGCCTCACTCTTCATGTCAGCAGGCCCGCCGTAAAAGAGCCCCAGCATCTTTACTTTTAAAGAAAAGATGTATAAATCAAACACTTTTTAATTATTATTTGGATAGTAAATTGAAAAACTTTTCAATTTTAAAAAAGCTTTTGAACCTATATGAATAAATAGAATCAAAAGCTCTTATTATTATAAAAAGATGTGCATAGAATTTTTAATTTGTTACTAGTTCAAGAAAGCGTGCTACGCACCTAAGAAGTAATCATATATTAAGTTTTAATTATTGTGTTATTATTAAAAGTATAAAACATATGAATACAAAATTCAAAAAGAAGCTAAAATTAAAAAAAAAAAAAAAGTTTAGGAGAAATAGTAAAAAAAGATAAAAAAGGACCAAATGAAGAAATAATAAGAAAATAAATAAAATGAGTCAAAAACATACCAAAATGAAGAATTAAAAAAGTTTTAGTACAAAACCAAAATGGAAGGAAATAAAATTTTAGGACAAAAATAGAGAAGGGTAAAAAAAAGATTAAAATGAAAGAATAAATAACTTTTAGGGTATCATCGAAAAGAAATATCTACGTAGGAAAATATAAAATTTTAGAGGAAAAAAGCAAAAAGAAAAAGAGGAGATGAAGGGAAAAAACTAAACCAGCCAAAAAAAATGTGCGGGAATGTTACTGTTCATGCGTTTTCAACCAAAACGTCACCATTTTGGTAAAAAACGCTTAATAATAGTACCCGCGATTTACCATTTCTATTATATTGATAGATTCACAAATAAAAGGTTAAGAAAACCTTTTGATAAGCTCTTTTTTTCTATAAGCACTAAAGAGGTGTTTTGTTCTAAAACAACTTATAAAAGTCAAAAATCTAATTCGCGTGTCTATCTAAAAGCATTCAAAAACAGTTTTTAGACTAAATAAATTAAAATCTAATCATTTTAAGTCAATCCAAACAAGGCCTAAATAAGTATGTGAACAAGTAATAACTAATAAAACATTGAATTTCAAGCAAAAGGAGGAAACAAAAGAAGAAAAATGGAACATTAATATCAAATACAGATGAATAATAGTTTTTTCTTAAAGAAAGGTTATTTTTTAGGAAGGAGGAGCTAAATAATATTTTTCTAAAAATATATATGATAAATAGTATATTTACGATTCATTTACAAAGCATAATAATAGTATACTTATTTTATAATTTATTTCATAAATGAATCATTTATCGTAAATAATGTTATTTATTACAAATATTTCAAAATATATATTTACCACAAATATTTTTGAAAAAATGACGTCTATTATAATTTCTGATCATGCCGGTCAAAAATCAATCTAGAGGCTAAAACAATAATTCTTAACTGTAGTGAAAAAGATAGTTCCTGTATTAGAAATTCATGTAAACAACAAGGAAACTACTCAATACCGTCTTTATCTTTTTACGATATCAATAACGGATTTTTGACGTACGACCGAAAATAAAGAAGTTTACTAATAGATAGATGAGCCCATCCACACTAATTTTTCAAACACGAAAATTTAAATAAAAAAAAAACGAAAAGTTGCAGATTGAATGAGGGGGTTGCCGGTGACCCAGATATGAAAATGGTCAGATCGCGACCAACCCTTGGGAGGGGTGGGTTGGGGTCGCCACCGATGACTCCAGATAGCGATGGGTCGCAACCCACCTTTCGGTCGCGTCCTCATCACAAACCTGGTCGCGATTCACGACCTTTAATCTGCAGAAAGCGCACTTTAGAAGAGTCGGGAAGCTCACGTCAAAGGAGAATGAGATCGCGCAACGGAGGAGAAGAAGATCAAGCGGCCGGCGAAGGAGGAGAAAATCGAGCGGCGGATGAGAAAAAAATCACGTGGCGGAGGAGAAGCAAACCGCGTCACGTCGGAGAGGGGAGGTGAGTTCGTGCGCTTTTAAGGGATGGCTCTCGTCGTCGTGGGTTGCGTCGCGAGCTACGGAGGCGGAGGGGCAAGGATGGTGGATGGTTCGCCGGAGTTTTTTTTTTTATTAGTATTTTTCGTGGCTTTTGGTAATTAAGGAAAGGTTTTATCCAGTGTGGGCTTGTCTAGTTTTGTTTCAGGAGAACGTAAGTTGAGACCACCAGTTTCAATCGAACGGTTGAAACGGTTTTCCATATCAATATCGAATTTGAGGACTACGGTAGTGAGTCTCGGGAGCACAAATTGAAAGAGTGGGAATATTTGGGCCTTGAGCCCAAGTAGAAATATCAGAGAAGTAAGGCTATAAATAACACCACAGAAATATCTCTTCGGAGCTTATCAGAAGCTCTAAGCAAAAAAGCAATCCTGTTTTACTACCTCAGAAAGCCACAACAACAACTTCAGAAAATGTCTTCCTTAACTTCCTCAACCGTGAATTCCAACGTTTATGAGAGTGGAAAATACTCAACAGTCATACAAAAAGTAGAGGCCGAGACAAGAATTCCAGTTCCACCTCCAAAGCCGCTTCTGATCGCCATGCCATCTGAAGGAGGAGAATTCCCACTTCTTGTCTTCTCTCATGGCTACCTTCTCTACAACTCTTTCTACTCTCAACTTCTCCAACATGTTGCTTCTCATGGCTTCATCGTTATAGCCCCTCAGGCACTTCTCTCTCTCTCTCTCTCTCTCTCTCTCTCTCTAGAATTTGTATTGCTTCTTTTTGGTGACTTTGATTTTTTTGTCAAATGGGGCCTTATTTGAAAAAGTTCTGAAACTTGTTTTGCTGATTTGACCCATTATTGAAGAATAATATTAGAATTGATGGTGTTTGCCTAAATGGTTCAATTATATATATATATATATATAATGCATAGGTGAAACACGAATTTTACAGACAGATCGACTATAAAGACTTCCGGGAAGAGTAATACTGTAGTCTGTAAATGAACCTCATTAAGTGATCTTATCCGGATAATTGTTGACCCGAAGGTTCAATTTTATATACTTAGAACAACATTATATAAACCCGTTCTTAATTCGAATTATTGTTATTGTATTTTTTCTTATAAAAATTTAAATTTTTTTTTAATTCAAATTAGCGAAACGGATGAAGTTTATTAGGACATGTTTTTTGTCTAAAAACTTTAAAAAAAAAAACAACTCAAGTTTCAACTTTATTCAAATTCACGTTTTTTTAAGTTTCAACTTTATTCAATTTTACTCAACTTTATTCAAATTCTAACTTCAACTCAAGTTATAACTTAAATTCAACTAAAAAATTACACTCAAGTTACACTCAAAAACAACCCCTTAGTGATTTTGGCATTCGAAAGAAGCTAATTACCTGCAATTCTTTTTCTTGGACCTGTCTTAGCTTGCAAGTTTTTTATGCTTATGGTTCACACTAGAAGGACTTGACATGGTTGATGGGTCCTAGGCAAATTACTGAAAAGCACTGCGGTTATGGTATTTGTTAAATTTGGCATGTTTTGGTTGGCAATGAAACAGCCAAGTGGCTGTCCTTATCAGTTACACTTTTTTCTACTTCTTTGTTTTATATGCTCTGATTTCCCATTAATCTCCTTTGGATTTGCCCAATAAACTTGGCTGTTTTGAGGCCATTCTTATTGTCATTCACATTCAAATGCCATTTCCAGCTTGTTACTCCAAAACTTTCCATTATCTATTCATATAAATTTGCTCTACAAAACATTTTCCAAATGTCCTTTTTTTTTTTTGACATGTTTAATAATCAGAAGTTCAAATGTAGAAAAAATAAACTTTTTTTTTTTTTTGAGAAAAAATGTAGAAAGAAACTTAAATTCCTGATTTTGAATTCTAGTGTCTACTTTTATTATTGGAGTCTCAGCAAGTCAAGAATGAAGTTCTCTCACTCACCTTATATTTACAAATTCAGTTATTTTTTCAGGCAAAAAAAGAAAAGAAAAGAAAAGAAAAGGGAGTAACCACTTTATTTTACTGAATAATGTCATTTTAATTTATTCATTTCTTCCATACAACATTATTTAACCACACTAGTCATCTAATTCCTTTGTTCAGTAAACAGTAGAATTGTAGTTAATTTGACTAGAACTTTATTACTATTAATTCAGTATAACACTTAAATGAAATTCTGAAACTCAATTCTACCTAAACTTTAGTTCCTTTGGTCATCGGAACTTATTTCTGATTCACCGAATTCCTAACTAGTAAAGGCGACCTTAGAATTATATATCCTCTTTGAATCTTCATATCAGATGCTATTGAGCACTTGGCTCACTTATTTTCTTTTTCTTTGCACTGACCAGCTATATACTGTGGCTGGACCAGACTCAAGTGATGAAATAAAGTCTACAGCTCAAGTAACAAACTGGTTATCCAAAGGACTCCAATACTTGCTACCACAGCAAGTCAAGCCAAACCTGAGCAAAGTAGCCCTAGCCGGCCACAGCCGCGGTGGCAAAACCTCATTTGCGCTAGCTCTAAGCAAAGAAACAATCACCACCCTCAAATTCTCAGCTCTTATTGGCATTGACCCGGTTGATGGAATGGACAAAGGGAAACAAACCCCTCCACCAGTCCTCACCTATGTCCCCCATTCATTTGATCTCGGTATGCCGGTAATGGTCGTCGGGTCGGGTTTGGGTGAAGTCAAGAGGAACCCTTTGTTCCCTCCTTGTGCTCCCAAAGGTGTTAACCATGAGGACTTCTTCAAGGAGTGTAGAGAGCCTGCTTGCTACTTTGTGGTCAAGGATTATGGTCATGTTGATATGTTGGATGATGAGACTAAAGGGATAAGAGGGAAAACTACTTATTGCTTGTGTAAAAATGGAAAGACTAGAGAGCCCATGAGGAAATTTGTTGGTGGGGTTGTGATTGCCTTCATGAAAGCTTATTTAGAAGGTGATAAAAGGAGTTTAATGGCTATAAGGGAAAGAAGTAGTGATGGGGATCTGCCTGTGGAACTTAAAACTATTGAGTTTCTTTTGTGAACAAATTTTCAATGCTTTGGTAAATGATTGGGAAGCTGCCATATTTGTCCTGGTTTTACTGTTTTCAGGCAGTAGTGTGGCCCTTAAAACTCTTCACTTTTTTTTTTCAAAAGGATTTATTTGTTGCTTTGTATATTTTTGTAATAGTAATACATAATGAAAGTGAAAAGCTTCCGCTAAATGCAAATTTCGCAGCAGAGAAAGTCATAGTATTTTATATATATATATGTATATATATTACTCTATTATTGAAGGATGCAGGGTTTCATTTGATATGCATTAGTGGCATGTGCTGACACATTTTATAAATCACATAAAAATTCTTCCATGTCACTCTTCTTACTAGATTAAGCTGAAGTTATATTATGAGATTGAACATATCAAATGATTCACTTGAAATTTGAATCGTAGCAATATATATATATATATATAATATGACTCACTTGACCTTTTTTACTCTTTTTTTTTTTCTTTTTATTTCCTGTGTCTTTGCTATTGATACTTTAAAGATATCTTAGTATAAATCAATTAATTTTTTTAATGTTTCCCATTCAAATTCACATCTTATAAAATATCTTGTTACTGAAAATATAAATATAATAAATCCTTACACAATAACAATTCTTGTGAAGTACAAAACCATGACCAATAGGGTAATATGATAGTTAAAGATAAAAAATGTAATACATTAAGAATAGATATTTTCTTTATGAACTTTTCGATAAAATTGTGAGAGAGTATGATTAAGGCTGAAGTTGAAAACGAAATTGTTTAGTTTAAAAATAAAAAGTCACGTCCATATATCCAATAGTTATACTTTGTTAGTTACTTAACGGAAGATTTATTGGAAAGATAATAAAGAAATGGTAGAAAAAAGATAAGCTGCAGGAGACCTTTGGAAAGATAATTAGTCAATAGAAATAGAAAAGGAATAAAATTAACTTATCAGATCTGATCATAACTCCGTAATGCTTTATTTGTTTAACTATTCGAATCACAATTTAAACTTTTTTGTTATAGTATTTTCTCTTATAAAAATTTAAATTTAATTTTTTCTGTTATAGTATTTTCTCTCATATAAATTCACCTTTCAACTCAAGTTCTCAACTCGAATGTGCGAAACGAATGGATATGTTTAGGCAAAGTTAGCACTGAAATGGTTGACATTTTAAGATACAAGATTTGCACATGAAAGGTAAAGCTCATTATTTTTCAAACCAGATCACATATGAATCTTGTATTTCTAATCGTCAATTTGATAATATGTGTCAGCCTTTTGTATTGCTAACAGCCTATAGATTTAAGGGTTTTTGGCATAATTGCACTCCGAACTTGTCTTGGTATAGTAAATTGCCCCCTAAATTTTTAATTTTGATAAGTTACCTCCTGAACTTGTAAATTTATTGCAATGTGCTCCATTTAACTAAATTTGCTCAATATTTTTTATTAGATTTAAGAGATTAAAAGTTGAGATATTAAAATATTTGGTGTTACATTTGAATTGAAATGTTAAAATTTTTAACTGAACGTGTTTTTTTACATTAATTTAACACAATCGTCGTCAAAATAGGGCATATTATAACAATTTTAAAAGTTGAGGGGACAACTTGCCAAAATTAAAATTTTGGGAACAATTTGTTAAACCATGAGAAATATAGGAGGCAAATGTGCTAAAAACTCCATATTTAAAAATTATATGTTTGGTACATGGATTTTTTATGGGTTCAAACCTATATTTTTAAATTAGTGTTTTTTTCTCAAAAAAAAATATAAGAAGAAAAGAGATAAATACCTTTTAAAAATGCATGAATCAAGATTTACATCTTTTATTCTTAATTAATAACTTTTTTAATCCAATAACTTTACTAACAAAAAAATATTAATAAAAAATTAAACATAAAAATTTATACCCACGCCCTCTCAAAAATAACTTTTTTAATTTTATTAAAATTTTATACTATATTTTTTTAATAATAATCAAAACCACTCATTTAAACTCATATACTAAACCAGCAAAAAAGGAAATTATAAGTTGGCGTAAAAAAAAAAAAAAAAGCTGCAGCGATGCCCTTCTAAAACTTAAAATTTTGACAAAATTGAAGTTTGGCCTCCTCGTCTCGCTCTGCCGCCGAACACACGCTCTCTCTCTCTCACTCTCTCTCACGGCAGCACAACTTCCTTGGCGTCACCACCGAGCTTCCGACAGAGTAGAAGGGCCAAAACTCTGCGGCGAAAGTTTTTGGAAAAAGGAGAAATTTGTAGAGATCTTGAAATTTTGAGGTAGAGTTCTCTCTTTTGAGTGATCTTATTCCGAAAGTTTCCTATTGAATTGGTATTTCCTTCTTGATTTCAATTACAAGTGTGATGAATTCTCTTTTGTCATTCTGATTTACCCAAAAAAAAAAACTGCAATTCTCAGTACCTATATACGATCCTATTGAGTTTTTCCTTGATGATTTTCTTGTTATATGTTTTAATTTTATTAATCCCAATTAGTCACCGATTAGGGTTCTCGGGCATGAGAATACTGATTCATGTTTTTACAAAAATAAAAAATAGTTCCGCAAATATTATGGAATCAAGCTGAAACCTTTATCTACTTTTGAAAGAAAAATAATTTATATGATTAATTTCAACATTTTGAGACTTTTGTGGATAATTTGTTAGCCGGCATTGAATTTACTTTGAAATATTTGGGCCTTTTTTGTAGATCATTTGGTGAATTTAGCTTGAAAGGGGAATCTAATCTGTTTCTGACGGTCACTGGCTTGTGGGGTTGGAGAAAGAAAAGTGATACTTTACAGTTTCAGCTGTCTCAATATCTGATTTTCTGGGAATGAAGATGTATGTGCTTAAATTATTATTACTCATTATTTTTTAGATTATCTCATGTTTTTGACTTATTGGGTATATTTAAAAATGAGGCCTTTTGACTATATTTTGCAGACTAGAGGCTAATGCTGGTGCACTTGCCAATTTTGAAGTGCTCAATTTTCTAAAATCCAAAGGAGCTTCAAAGGATCCAACAAGGGTTCTTGCCGATGTAGCTCCATCTGAATACAAAGTTTGTCCTATATTTTGCTCCCATTTTGCTGATATTGACTACGGACTATGAAAGAAATCTCGATTGTGTTTTTATCGAAGTGTTACGATTTTCCCTATGTTTGCTAGAATGTTGCACCTATTCCTTACGTTTTACGAATAGTATGGGAGGTTTTCCTCGTGATTTGTAAAAGGTAAAGGATAGTTTAATGTAATTTATAAACGTAGGGCATATGTGCAATATTGATGAAAACATAGGATGGAACTCAAATTTTTTATGAAACACAAGAAAGATTTTTGTTATTATCCCTAGAGATTATTGTGTAATTTGCTTAGAGTGATAGCTAATTGCCACACTTTTTTGGGTCTAGGTTTATGACTATTTGGTTGAGACTGCTGCTTGCGATCAGACAAAAGAAAACGTCAATGAGTTCTTGGAGAAGTGCAAAAAGTATGACCTTGCAAAAGCTGAGGTGCTCAATATTATCAACATTAGGGCGTCCACTGCAGTTGAAATTTACTTGGTAACCATGACTAAGTTTCTTCTCATCTCTTTTTTGAACTGCTTAAATTTTCATGACAATTACAATCATCTCTCACAGTATTGATGTTTGCTTAATGCATGTGATTATGACATAAGTAGAGCTGCATACGTTTGGCAGATTTGAACTGAATGCTGATATCATTTTGATTGATGCGAGAACAAGAGCTATAATATGAGCAAAGAATAGAAGTTTGCTATTATCTATATGGAGAATTCATTGGTAGGATATTAAAAAATTGTTGGCTTGTATCATATCATAATCGTATTATATTAAGAAAATTATGATAATTAAAAAAACCTTGATGAAAGTCGGACGATTCCGAACCGTGTCCGACCGGTAGGGTAGTTCATACCATACGGTAGAATTCTCATATCCATATACATTGACTCGGCTCTTTAATTTATTATTTTGTGTGTGTGTGTGTTGAGACAGAACTAATAGCAGGACGTTGTCCTTTTATAGATTTATCTCTTGATTCTACCTTTGATAATGGCTCAAGTTCAATAAGTGAAGTCCTACCCTAGTATATTTGGAAGACTGGCCATAAATGGCGTTGAGTTTTGTAGAACAACCAAGACCATTTTAACCATATAAACTAGTCATGGTTTACTACGTTTGTTAATATTCAAATTTGGAACAATTAGTAATCTGGTTTTTCAATGTTTACAGATTGTAGAGGATTGCGAGAAGCGTTTAGGGGATGACGTTGACGAGCTCGTGAAGACTGTGGCGGAGGTGTTGCCTCCGGCTCCAACTGAACCCGCAAGTGAAGAGGTAAATAATGAGGCTGATGAGAAAACTGCAGACCAAAATATCAATGAACAACTGGTTGGTGAAGGTCCGGAGAAAGCCCCTGACAAGGAGCCGATAGAAACAAGTTAAGGATATTGCAACTTAAAATTAATAGTTGAAAGCTAACTAAAGAATTTTAATTAGTTTGAGCTAAAATCTGAAGGTTCTAATGATTTATTGGTGGTAAGAAATTAGTTTTGCATTGACAAATTACAAGTTTACAAATTTTGGTTGGGTCTTGAGAAGTGAAGAGTTGAATCCTTGTAAGGCATTGGAATTAGGTTCTCGTAGCTTGCTTTTAGTTGACTTTGCGGTTAGTGACTTTGCTTATGTTAATATGGTGGATGTTAATTATGAATAGATAGTCAGGATTATGACAAAACAGAGATTATTATCAAAATGCTTATTCTTTTGAATAAATTATTTATTATCTAAACAAAATTAACTGGAATCTTCCTTGCATGATTTCGAATTTCAAGGCAGCACCATTGCTACAATTGTGAGCCTACACAAGTCATTTTAAGGGTTCAAATAATATATATCTTCTGTTGATAGTCAAAGTCAGAAATGTGTTAGGAACTCGAAAATTTATGCTTTATTAACAATACTAAAAATGAAAAATTACAGGATATATGGGCGGTTTCGAGGACCCCCGACCTCCAAAATAGTGCACAGCATTAAACACTTTCTACAAATCTGATCCCCCTTCTCCCTAGAAACTAAACCCCTTATTTATACTATCCTTAAGACTATTGAAAAAGACTTCTAAATATAAGGTTCCTAACATTACTCCCGTCCCAAAGAATCACCTTGTCCACAAGGTGAAAATCAAGAAATAAAATTGAAAATTAACATCTAAATGATTGAGACCAAAAGGCTTTGTTAGTTCCTCGATTTGAATCTCCAAATTGATGTTGTCCTTGTAAGACACGTCTTCAAATTGGAGCCAATCAATTACTTTATTCTTCATCTTCTTTGTATCTTGGAAAGCAGCCACAAAGTCCACCAATTCAATTGGAGCCCCCTGATCAAGCTCATCAATGACCATAAAAGCTTTTGACAAACCCATCATTAACAAAGAAGTTTTCGTCTCAGCTAACCAGGTCTTCGCCCTTTCAACTTCTCTGTCACCAATTGCTTCATACGTAGCTACAGACTTACTATACCCAGTCCTAAATGTGTTGCAATTTTGAGGCCCAACCACCATTGCACAGAACTATGCCCAACATTGTTCTAATTACGAGGTCCAACCCTAACCATGCCAAAATTGACCCAGTTCACTCCTGAATCATGAGGCCCAGTCCACACTTTTGGGAACACAGCCCCCAAATCGCTAACGGTGGCCTCAATAGTTTCGGAATTCCAAAACCATGCGTTACCTTCGTTGGAATCATCCCTAACCTCGCCGGAAACAACCTCAACAGCGTCAGAATCATGAGACTCGCTCCAAATTTGGCCGGAATTTTTGAAAACAACACCAATCTCACCGGGATCAACCTTAATGGAGTTGGAATTGTGGGACTCCACTACAATCCCGCCGGAAGCTGCCTCCGCAGCACCGGAATCAACCCCTTTCTCACCAAAATCGTGAGGCCCTATCCAAACAGCAGCCAAATCGTCAAGCCCAGCCTTCGTCGCGCCGAAATCTATCTCCGTAGCATCGGAACCAACCCCTTTCACTCTGAAATCACGAGGCCTGGTCCAAACCGGGCCAGAATCAGCCCCAACCGCGACCGAATCAGGGCTGGGTTCCCTGTTCTGAGGGTGCCCAGGCGGTCCTAACCTCGGAGCAAGCCTCTCATCCTCTAACTCCGGCTCCCACTCCACTTCCTGTCGCTAACCAAGCTCCGCCGCCCTCCCCCGATGGTCACAACCTCCTTCCGCCCTCCTTCCGTCGTCGAACAAACCCTCGCGCTGCAAATCCGGACCACACAGCCCCAGATTGTGACGGATCTCGCGCTCCTCCATGAGACCCATGTCTCTCCGGCATCAAAACACCCTCTCGCGGCCTCGATATTCGTGAATTGGCACTTCCTGGCGAAAATTCGCTCGATTTGGCACCTCCACTCCGCTGGGTCGACGCGATCTGGGCTCTCCTCGCCCCGAGGCGCGCGATCTCGCCTCTCCCCGTCCCGTCGTTTGCCATCGTGACCCAACCTGGCCTCCCCAGCCATCGGCCGCACTGCTAGCAGTGCCTCCATCCTCCGCAGCGCCGCCTGCAAATCACCCATCTGGGCCCAAATCTTCCCCACATGGTCCCGGAGTTCCCCCATACTCCCTCCAAAAACCTTGTGATTAGCTTTTAGAGCAGACCTAAGTTTCTCTCTCAATTCAAAGAGCTCCGTGGATCGTAGATGCTCTGATACCATTGTTAGGAACCCGAAAATCTATGCTTCATTAACAATACTATAAATGGAAAATTACAGGATAAATTGGCGGTTTCGAGGACCCCCGACCTCCAAAATAGTGCACAGCACTAGATACTCTCTACAAATCTGATCCCCCCTCTCCCTAGCAACTAAACCCCCTATTTATACTATCCTTAAGACTATTGAAAAAGACTTCTAAATATGAGGTTCCTAACATTACCCCCGCCCCAAAGAATCACCTTGTCCTCAAGGTGAAAATCAAGAAATAAAATTGAAAAATGACATCTAAATGATTGAGAACAAAAGGCTTTGTTAGTTCCTCAATTTGAATCTCCAAATTGATGTTGTCCTTGTAAGACACGTCTTCAAATTGGAGCCAATCAATTACTTTCTTCTTCATCTTCTTTGTATCTTAGAAAGCAGCCACAAAGTCCACCAATCCAGTTGGAGCCCCATGATCAAGCTTATCAATGACCATAAAAGCTTTTGACAAACCCATCATTAACAAAGAAGTTTATGTCTCAGCTAACCAGGTCTTCGCCCTTTCAACCTCTCTATCTCCAATTGCTTCATACCTAGCTACAGACTTACCATACCCAGTCCTAAATGTGTTGGAATTTTGAGGCTCAACCACCATTGCACCAGAACTAGGCCCAATATTGTTCTAATTATGAGGTCCAATCCTAACCATGCCAAAATTGACCCAGTTCACTCCTGAATCATAAGGCCCAGTCCACACTTTTGGGAACACAGCCCCCAAATCGCTAACGGTGGCCTCAATAGTTCCGAAATTCCAAAACCATGCCTTACCTTCGCTGGAATCAGCCCCAACCTCGCCGGAAACAACCTCAAGAGCGTCAGAATCATAAGACTCACTCCAAATTTGGCCGGAATTTTTTAAAACAACACCAATCTCACCGGGATCAACCTTAATGGAGTTGGAATTGCGGGACTCCACTACAATCTCGCCGGAAGCTACCTCCGCAGCACCGGAATCAACCCCTTTCTCGCCGGAATCGTGAGGCCCTATCCAAACAACAGCCAAATCATCGAGCCCAACCTTCGTCACATAGGAATCTGTCTCCGTAGCACCGGAACCAACCCCTTTCACTCCGAAATCACGAGCTCTAGTCTAAACCGGGCCGGTATCAGCCCCAACCGCGATCGAATCAGGGCTGGGTTCCCTGTTCCGAGGGTGCCCATGCGGTCCCAGCCTCGAAGCAAGCCTCTCCTCTTCTAACTCTGGCTCCCACTCTACTTCTCATCTCCGACCAAGCTCTGCCGCCCTCTCCCGACGATCGCGACCTCTTTCTGCCCTCCTCCCGTCGTCGAACAAACCCTCGCGCTGTAGATCCGGACCACCCAGCCCCAGATCGCGACGGATCTCGCGCTCCTCCATGAGACCCATGTCTCTCCGGCGTTGAAACTCCCTCTCGCGGCCTCGATCTTCGTGAATCAGCGCTTTCCGGTGAAAATTCGCCAGATTTGGCACCTCTACTCCGCCTAGGTCGACACAATTTGGGCTCTCCTCGGCCCGAGGCGCGCGATCTCGCCTCTCCCCGTCCCGTCGTTCACCATAGTGACCCACTCGGCCTCCCCAGCCATCGGCCGCGCCACCAGCAGTGCCTCCATCCTCCGCAGCGCCGCCTGCATGTCACCCATCTGGGTCCGAATCTTCCCCACATGGTCCCGGAGTTCTCCCATACTCCCTCCAAAAACCTTGTGAGCTCTTAGAGCAGCCATAAGTTTCTCTCTCAATTCAAAGAGCTCCGTGGATCATAGATACTCTGATACCATTGTTAGGAACCCGAAAATCTATGTTTCATTAACAATACTAAAAATGGAAAATTACAGGATAAATGGGCGGTTTCGAGGACCCCCGATCTCCAAAATAGTGCACAACACTAGACACTTTCTACAAATATGATCCCCCTCTCTCTAGCAACTAAACCCTCTATTTATACTATCCTTAAGACTATTGAAAAAGACTTCTAAATATTAGATTATCTAAACAAAATTAACTGGAATCTTCCTTGCATGATTTCGAATTTCAAGGCAGTACCATTGCTACAATTGTGAGCCTACACAAGTCATTTTAAGGGTTCAAATAATATGTATCTTCTATTGATAGTGAAAGTCAGAAATGACTGCAGATCTTATCCAAAATCCAACTACTATAAAAGTCTAAAACCTAATACATGTTCTTGCTTTGGAGAAGTCAGAGAAATTTCAAATAATTGACTTTGGATACTCACTTGATATAAGCCCCTAAAATATTCTTCTAAACAGTTAAAAGTGGGTGTAGACTTTAGTCTGTTTCGCAGTAAAAGAAATACCAATAATAAATAATATAAGATCTTTTTTATATGATCTCTCTTCTGTTAGAATTAATAGTATGAGAATTAATTTTTATCGATGGATAGGTTAAATTTACATTAAGTATATGTTTGATAGTGATTTTTAAAGCTTAAAATTAATTCTTTAATCATCTAAAGTTGAAATTTGTGTTTAGTAAAAATCATAAAAAATTATTTTTAAAGAATTTTTAAAGAATTTACGGTTAAAATCAGAAGAGGCCTAAAGACAACTTTAGCTTTAAGATTGTACAGCAATTACCTTGAAGTACAATTAATGAACTTTTATAACACTCATAATATTCCTGGAATCAATACTTATATAATTACAGTTTATCAAACACTCAGCTGTTTTTTTTCAGCACAGCTAACAACAATTTTTTTAAAATCTACTGTACTACTAAACTGACCCTAAATTGAAAAAAAAAATGTAAAACAAACAATTTCTTCTATAGTTTTAATGATTGAAAATAGTCTGTTCAGTAGTTTATTTTTTCAATGCCCATCAAAGAAATCTCCATAATATAAATTGAAGGTTACATACTGCCCATGCTGCATGCCTTTTTTCCTTTTTTTTTTTTTAAAGAAAAGACAAATATGATTGTACAGTTAAAATCTTGTAAGTGACATGTTTCAACATTATTAGTAAAAAAAAAATG